TATGGAATTCTATAAATGTATGGAATTCCATATGGAATTCTATAAATGTATGGAATTCTATAAATGTATGGAATTCTATATGGAATTCTAAAAATATATGGAATTCTCTAAATGTATGGAATTTTCTGTGGAATTCTAGAGTCTGTGTTTATATGGAATTCTGTAAATGTATGGGATTCCATATGGAATTCTATAAATGTATGGAATTCTATAAATATATGGAATTGTATAAATGTATGGAATTCCATATGGAATTCTATAGTCTGTGTCTGTATGGAATTCTATAAATGTATGGAATTCTATATGGAATTCTATAAATATATGGAATTCTATAAATGTAGGGAATTTTCTGTGGAATTCTAGAGTCTGTGTTTATATGGAATTCTATAAATGTATGGAATTCTATAGATGTATGGAATTCTATAGCCTGTGTTTATATGGAATTTTAAATGTATGGAATTCTATATATGTATGGAATTCTAGATGGAATTCTATAGTCTGTGTTTGTATGGAATTCTATAAATGTATGGAATTTTATATGGAATTCTGTAAATGTATGGAATTCTATAAATGTATGGAATTTTATGTGGAATTCCATAGTCTGTGTTTATATGGAATTCTATAAATGTATGGAATTCTATAGATGTATGGAATTCTATATGGAATTCTATAGTCTGTGTTCATGTGGAATTGTACAAATGTATGGAATTTTATGTGGAATTCCATAGTCTGTGTTTATATGGAATTCTACAAATGTATGGAATTATATATGGAATTCTACAAATTTCGGGGGAATTGAGGAATTATTTGGGGGGGATTGAGGGATTATTTGGGGGGGATTGAGAGATTATTTGGGGGGGATTGAGGGATTATTTGATGGGGATTGAGGGATTATTTGGTGGAGATTGAGGGGTTATTTGGTAAGGATCAAGGGATTATTTTATGGGAATTGAGGGATTATTTTGGGGGGATTGAGGGACCATTTGGTGGGGATTGAGGGATTATTTGGGGGGGATTCAGGGACTATTTGGGGGGGGATTGAGGGGTTATTTGGTGGGGATTGAGGGGTTATTTGATGGGGACTGAGGGATTATTTGGGGGGGATTGAGGGGTTATTTGGGGGGGATTGAGGGATTATTTGGTGGGGATTCAGGGACTATTTGGTGGGGATTGAGGGATTATTCGGTGGGTATTGAGGGATTATTTCCAACCTTCTTCAGCACCACGAACTCGTTCTCGGCCGTCGTGCGCCGGTTGATCTCCTCCTCGTACCTGGGGGGAGCAAAAGCACAGGCTGAGTTCCTGCCTTCTCCCGCCAAAGGGGGGTAAAAACCCCCTAAAATTAAACCTTCAGACCCATAAACCACCCCCGGGATCACCATAAAAAGGGAGTTTTGGGGCAGAGAAGTGCCCAAAGAGCTGTTTGAGGCGGCCCAAGCGTGGTGGCAACTCACTTGCTCTTGTACTCCTCGACGTACTGCTGCATGTTCTGCAGCTCCGACTCCAGCTGCCCCCGCTGCGCCAGGATGGAGTCCAGCTGCCTCCTCAGGTTCTGGATGTAGCTCTCAAAGATCACACTCAGGTCCTTCCTCGGCCCCGACGGCCCCTGCTGCTGCAGCAGCTCCCACTTGGTGGAGAGGACCTTGTTCTGCTGCTCCAGGAACCGGACCTGAACCCAACAGGGG